AGCAGAGCTGGTGCTGGAAGCCAGATCCAGCCCTTTTCCACCTTCTCTGCTGTCCCAGGAAAACAGTCACCTCACAAGAATGGCCCAGTTCTCTTCTCCAAGCCAAGGCTGACCGTGGGGGAGAAAGCCATACACACACCCAACTTTCTCACAACATAGGCACAGGTGCCCACACATAGGTACACACATAAGCACACATGGGGCATACATAGGCACACACTCACATCACACAAACGAATGTCCAGGAAAGAAATCTCCAGTGAGGTCCTTAAGGTGCTGTTCAGAAGAGTCCAGACCATGTAAACACCTTACCCACTCCTAAAATTCTATGATTCCAGACCAGCTCCATCACGTCTCCAGCTGTATGACCTTGGACAAGTCCCTTCCCCTGCCTTGGTCTCAGGCTCACCTTCAGACTATGTGAGGGGTTGGCTGAAATTATCTCAAGGAATCCTCTCAGTCCTGATGTGCTCCCAGCCCACCTTCCCTCAGAGCCCACTGGGATGCCTCCAGGAGCTGTTTCCTCCATCTTTCCCATTCCCTCTCCTCTCCCTGACCCCCTCCTTGTCTTGGCTGAGCTCCCAGGGGCTCACTGCCACTTGGCATAGCCCATGACAAGATGGCAGTGTTTTCCTGGGAGTCAACATGAGTCAAGAGGGTAAAAGACAGGACTGGATGCTGTCCCTGCCATGTATCCACTGCAGGACTGTGCCGAGACTCCACAGCTTTTGGGACCACAAGGAGCTAGGCTATGTGGTCTCTGGATTCCTGTCTTGGAAGAGGAAGAAAAGGGCCTCAGAAGTAGATGTGGCTCAAGTGGGGGCACTTCTGGGTCCTGCTGACCCTGTGAGTTTAGGGCAGGATGATCAGACTCAGGCCTGCCCAGAGAGAAGCCTGCTTTCCTGGGAAGGACCAGACCAAGTTTGGTCTGGGGTCTCTTCCCTTCTCCCACCTCTCTGCCAGCTGCCAGGGTTTCAGGAGCATGGGACATCCTCAGGCTTTCCTTCTCCTTCTTCCCACATTTCATACCCTTGGTTATATGCCCCCTTTCTTTCTCAGTCCCATGGTCCCCAGCTCCCCAGCTCCCACCTGACTTCCTAGCCTCCGGCCTTATTTCCCTATGGGGCAAGTTCCCCTGAACAATGCTGCCAGAAAGAATCTCCCCAAAGCACAGCTGTGACCATACCAATACCTTTCTCAGAAGCCCTTGATGGTTTCCCCGCCCATGGAATCTGGTCCATGCTCCTTATCCAAAATTTTAAGGATTTTCATACCTGCCTCTAATTTTTATGTCCAACTTTATTTCTCACTTCTTACTGACATGATCCCTCCACTGCAGCCAAACTGTCCCCTGAGAACAACTTAAGTGTGCCTGCCTGGCACGCCTTTTTCCCTGTCTGTTTATCTTGTCCAAGCTAACCTTTCAGGTCTAGCTCAAACCCCACTTCCTCCTTAAAGTCTCTCAGAACATCCCAAGCCACTGCTCTGGACAATTGCAGGACTTATTGTCAGAATGGCCAGGGTGACAGTGTAGGCTCTTTTGCATGGTTATTTACATTTTAGGGGATGTGTTTGGTCTCTTTAACCAGACTGTAGTGAACCTCCATGTGGGCAGGGCCCTGTGAGACCCATCTCTGCGCCCCTCATGCTGTCATAGTACCCAGGGGCACTCAGAGAAGGCTACTGATGGGTTTAAGGTGTACAGACATGAATGGGCATCATCTTCACCCTCCACCTGTGCCGTTTCCCAAAGTGCTTGTAGTCGTCACCAAGAGAGTTGCTAAAAGCTGGGGGCAGAGGCAGACGGAGTGCGGTTCTGGTGATTATTTATTTATAAAGTGCTGGACAAGAGAAAAGACAGCATCAAAGCATCACCCTACTTCTGGTGTGGGGGGGCGGGCCAGACTGGTAATGTCCACTCCCTGCCTCACCCAACCATCCCTGGCTTTTTGTCACTTCTTGCTCTATGTCCCCTGGCTGGAAACTGCCCACAGAGACTCTGCTCTAAGAAAAACCTGTCTGGGCTGTAATCAGATGGCTGGAAAGGGCCCATCATTAGACTGATCTTGACTCAAAACACAAAAACAGCAGCCTCTGTCCACCCGACCCTTTGGGGGACTCATATGGGTCTCCTGAGGCACCAGGCCTCCCATTGGGATAGAATAATGACAGACCTCCCATTCATTCAGTACTTGAATGATCACAATGCACTTTCATCTCATTTCTTGAGTCCCAGCCTTCAGTTGCTCAAGGAAGTTTTCAGGGCAGGTATTGTTAGCTCCATTGCACAGATGAAGGCACGGAGGCTCAGGGAGGAGAAGGGACTCCCCCAAAAGAATGCAGCTGGTGAGCACTGGAGTTAGAGCAAGAAGCTGGGTCTTCTGACTCCAAGCCCAGTGCTCTTTCCGCAGCCGGTCTCTTCGCTGCTTCCTTTGCCTCCATATGCTGTGAAGCCCAGAGCCAGCCAGGACTGGTATGACCAAGACGTGCTCAGGGATGCCAGCCTACAGGGCACCCACAGGCAGCCCTGATTGGTTGAGGGTCAGCAGGGTGTGCGTTAGTCATTCACCTGGTTAGTCACAAGGATTCCTCCAGCTCCCTATCTCCGGCCTCCCAGCCAGGAAACCCTTCCTTTGTTGGGCCTAAGTTCATCAAATGCAAACGGAAACTCTTTTCTGGGAAGCTTAAACTCTCTATAGCTGTTGAGTCATTAAACTCCTCCGGGGGCCCCAGCCCCATCTATTCATAGCCCGGAGGAGGCTGTCAGAGCAGGAAGGAGCCTGGAGATCAGCTGGTGCCAACCCCTCCTCTTACAGAGCAGTGTTGGGAGTCACATAGCCAGAGGGTAGGGAAACCTGCCCCCCAGGCCCCCACGCCTGCCACTTGTTCAGGATACCTCTTTATTTATTCTTATTATTAACAGCAGCAACAGAAACAATACTAATAGCAGCAGCCACCATTTGATATCTACTCTTTGGTAGGCTCTACCCAAGACACTCCACTTGTATTCCCTCAATTCATTCTCTCACCTACCCTTCAAGATGAGCATTATTACCTACGTTTTTCAGCGGAGGAATCTAAGGCTCTGAGTGTCAATGACTCACCCATGGCCTTGTGACTTGAAAAGAAGCACCTGTTGAGACTCCACTGAGCCTCTCTGACTCCCATGCCCTGGATATTTTGCCACTTCTTTCCCCACTTCAAGAATCCAGCCCGGACCCTTGTATTTCAAGGGCACAGAGTAGCCACAGCTTGTCTTTTCCCTAACAAAGCCCTCCCCAGCACACTACACAGCCAGCCCACTGCTCCCCCACACCCTGGCCCCTGACCAACCCAGACCACGTGCCAGAGCTGTGCCCAGCACCAGGCCCTACCTGAGACTGCCACAGGCTCACAGGTGCCTGTTCTCCCACTGCAGGTCCCCAGAATCCTTGTGGCTCTAAGGCAACAAGAGACCAGGTGATTGATTAGCTGAGGGAGCTGGTGCAGAAAAGCTCTATTCTGTTCTTTCCTTAGCTTCCAGCCTGTTCTCAGCTAAGCACAGGCTCCCATCACCCACCACCATGTGCCCTGGGAACCCTTAGACTGGAAATTCAAGCTGGCAGCTCGTGAAGGGACCTGTACTTTTTACATCTTTCCAAGAAGGAGGAAAGCACAGAAGTGACCTGCCACCCCTAAAACCCCAGAGTCCTCAAATAGAAGAGTGAAACAAGATATTAGCCATCATCCAAACACTCAGAGAGGTGAGTGACTTGCCTAAAGTCACACAGTAAGTTACAGGTGCAACCCTGATTAGATCCTAGGCCTTTGGGTACCCAGACCGGAGTTCTCCATCACCCCAGCCTATTCCCCTAATGGTCCACCCTCTCTCTTAGCACTGGGACCTTGGCTGCTTATCACTCCACTGTTCCCAGTCTTCTACTGACTTCCCGGGGGGCAGGGTGGGGATGGAGGAGCCCAGCCTGGAACCGTCCCACTGCCCACTCCCAGTCAGCATTTCTTTCCTCCCTGCCCACAGGCCACCTCTCTGCTTCGACTGCCCAAGCCTTTTCTGAGGGTGGGTTAGGAACGCAGGTACTGGCTTAGAAGCCAGAGTACCTGGGTTCATCTCTCAACCTACCCCCCCCCAACTCACCTCCCCATCCCCCTTGGATAAGTTACTTAGTCTCTCTGAGCTTGTTTTGTAATTTATAAAATGAGAGGATAATATCTGCCCCTTAGGATTAAATAGGATAATGTAAAGAAAGTGCCCGCTACAGAGTAAGCACTTAATAAACAGTATCTCTAATTATTGGTGTTACTACTATTATTGTTCATGTATTATTACTTCCCCCAAGGAAGGGAACTGCTCTGTGTCCCAAGGATTACCATGAACGCAGCTACCTCTGCTCCTTCCTAATAGATGGGACAGTGGAGTTGGGGACCTGAGGCTGCCACACCCTTCCCTTCATCCTCCTAATCCCAGCCCCCCATCCCAGGCTCCCCAGATCTTCACCTATGCCTGGAGTCTGCCTGACCTCCAGGCTCAGGGACAATGCCCCCTCCTCTAAGTAGGCAGGACCTGCAGGAGAGCAAGCTGCACAGTGGTAGGAGGACCTACCCTGGATTGGAGCAAGGAGGCAAAAGTTGTAATTCCACTTAGTTCAGTTGCTGGTCCTCTATGACCGCCAGTGTCCTCATCTACAAAGTGGATGTATTTGATCAGAGGTCCTTCTGACTGCCATGCCTCTTGCCTACACATCCAGTTCCCACGCATCATGGTTGGGGGCTGGAGACGTGCAAGAAATGGGGGCGAGAATAGGACAGGAATAGAAGACACATGCCTGGCCACAGTGGAGACAGGACAAACACAATAAGTATTTTCAAAGAAAACATAAATAAGCACAGATGAATGTAGTGCGCATCACCACTATAAACAGCTTTCAGCTGGCAGCACAAACGGTGAATCTGTGAGTTGATTTTATAATTTAAAAAATGTAGAAATGATTTCCCTGTCTTCAGCCAGCAAGAGGGGAAGAGACCCAGCTCTAACTGAGACCATTATCAGTTTGGGCAAACCTCAGCCTAGACCCTGGATGGGCTCTCCCTCACCCTTGGACAAGTGACTTCATCTCTACCTTGGAAGCAAGGGACTGCCATGTGTCTCTAACATGTCAGGCACTGTCCAAGGCACCTCTCACCACCAGCATTCCCACAACTGCCCTGGGAGGGCAGACGTTATCAACTTGTTACAATCGAGGAACACGAAGCTCAGAGAGGTTTGGAAATTGGCCCAGGCCTCTACAAATATGAAATGACAATGCCAGGGCTTACACCTAGGGTTGTAGGGAGTATCTTTTCCCAGAGCCACACAGCTGCTTCCCCCCATCGAGCCTCTGCAGTCCCTTCTATGTGAACGTCACAAATAATGGAGGATGAGTACCAGGGTCCACACAGGGCACTCATCTGTGGCCTCAACTTCAGGATCTCTTGCCCTTGGGACTATGAATAAAGCATTTAGCCCTAAGAGAAATCAGAATTTTAGCTCCACCCCTCTCATTTTACAGTGTGGAAACTAAAACTCAGATTGGAGAAGGAGCTTGCTAAAGGCCACGCTCACAGTTGTCCTCAGAGCTGGCCTTTGGAGACTTGTTTACTGACACCTCACTCCATGCTCTTGGGCCCCTGACGGGCTCTTAGAGAAGACAGCAAGCTGCCAGCAGGCCTGTTCTATTTGCCCTGCGCCTCCTCCTGACCTCTCTCTTAGCCTCTGATCCTCAGAGAGCCATATGACAAACGCCTTTCGTGGCCGTCAAGAGAGGAGTCAACAGCCAAGCTGATGCCACCGCCTCTGTGTCTGCCCACACTTGCTCGTTGTCCAGAAACTGCCCCTGCTCAGGAAGCTCCCAGGTGGCTCCTAGAGACACACTCCTCACCTACAGCCACCCTGCCCCAAGCTACTATCCCAAATCACACCTTCACTTTTCCACTTGCTATAGCTGGCCTCAGCTGCTGCCTAGAGCGAACAGCTCCAGTCCTCCTGGTCCTGTGGCCTATTGGGATCCCTGCCAGGCTGGGGCCAGCCTCCCACCCCTGCTTCTCCCTCCTGCTTCCTCCAGTGATACCTAAGGACCCCTTTGTGAGGGCGCCACTGGCTGCTGTGAATACAAGGCAGGAGACTGGCCTGGGCACTGGAAACAGGGTTCTTTCTCTCCCCTGAGAGGCCTTAGACAAATCATTCCAGTGTGTTCTCTCTCTCTCTCTCTCTCTCTCTCTCTCTCTCTCTCTCTCTCTCTCTCTCTCTCTCTCACTGTCTCTGTCTCTCTCTCTCCTGCCCCTGTACTCATGGGAGGAGCAGATACTTCCCTGTGTGCCTCAGTCTTTCCATTAGTAGACAGCGAGTGTTCCATAGGGGAACTTAAGCAGGCTAACTCAGCGATGCAGAATTGTCTACGTTAATGCTTCTTGAACAGTCATGTGCAGAGGGATGACTTGGTTGATCTCGCTTAAGTGCAGATTCTGAATCAGTAGGTCTGGGGCAAGGCCTGAGACTCTGCATTTCCAACAAGACCCCAGAGGACCCTGGTGCTCTTGATCCATGGGCCACACTTTGAGTAGCAAGAATTTAAATAACCTGGAGACCTGACTCCTGGGAATAGACACGTGGACTGTGATTTTAAGAACAAGAAGATTTAGAGCTGGAAAAATCCTTAGGCATCTGGTTGTGGAATGTTAGAGCTGGTGGACCCTTCTCTGAGGTTTGGAGCAGGGCTGTAGCTTGCCTCATGGGAGCCAGCCATGGAGCCTGGGTGGGGCCCCGTGCAGTCCCATCCCTGTGGGTGGATGGAAAGGGAGAGCAGTGGAGAAGGGCTTGTCTCACGGGAAAGCCTGCAAACAAGAACCCACTGATCCTCAGCTATCCTCCACCCTCCCCACCCTTAGATCCATGGAGAACACGTGCCCCAGTGATTAAATGTCCAAGTGAGAAACTGGCATCCACCCAAAGTCCCAGGGGCAGCACAACCTCCAGCCCCCATTAGAAGAAGAGGCTCAGGCCCATTTCTTCTTTCATGGGCTGGAATTCAGGCAGCAAAGGCCCATAGAGTTCACCAGGCCCTATGGCTACCAGGTACACTCACCCTGTTGCCGGCTAGTGTGGAATGCAGGTAGCAGGACAAAGCCCACTCTTTGCTAGACCTATCAGGCCACATGTGTCTGCAAATTTTAAGAGGGACATCAACAACCTGAGGAATATTCAGAGGAAGGAAGCAGCATGTCAACTGAAGGACACTTAGCGAAAGCAGGCCTGCAGAACATGAGGGCTACCTTCAAATATTTGCTGGGCTGTTGAAAGGTAAAAGGAACAACCTTGGGCTGATTGGGCGCAAGGGGTTGAAGCGGCGCTGGTGCATAGAGTCCATAAAAAGATTTAATTCAGTCCAATGTAAGGCAGAACTCAGAGTTGAAGCTGACCAATGATGGACTGTGCTGCCTTGAGAGGTGGTTAGTTCCCCATCAGAGGAAGCATACAAAACAACACTAGATGGGCATGCCTCGGAGGTCACATGTATCCATCAGTTTTCAACCAGAGAAGCAGAACTAGTATGAGATATATATTAAGAGATGTATTATAAGGAATCAGCTAATTTGATAGCAGTGGCTAGGTAGGCAAGTTCGAAATCCACAGAGCAGGCCATCAGGAAGGACTGGCTGGAACTCTTTCCAGCTGAAGCTGCTGTCCACCAGTGGAATTTCTTCTTCAAGGAAGCCTCAGCTTGGCTCTGAAAGCCTTTCGACTGATTGAATCAGGCCCATGCAGATTATCTCAGATAATCTTCCTTACTTAAAGACAACTGATTATGGACTTTAATCACATCTACAAAATGCCTTCACAGCAACCCCTAGATTAGTGTTTGATTAAATAACTAGGGACCTTTAGCCAAGTTGACACATCAAAAAGATCATCATGAGCTACCCATACGTCAGACTGGGGGGCTGTAATAAATGGCTTTTAAGATTCTTCCCAACCCTGAGATGCTTTGATCTCTTGATCTTTAAAGAGGCCGCCTGAAGAGGTAGAGTACCCAAAGTGAGACTCGGGAATGTCCTGGGGGGCTGCTGGTCCTCTGAGTCACCTTCTATGTAGAACCAACTTTAGCCTTCATTTCAGTTCCATTTACCGAAAATCATTGAGCTGCTCTGAGTGTCAGGCAGTATAAGCACTGAAAGAATAGAAAACCATGACCCAGATCTTCCCAGATCAAGGAGCCTCTGGTCCAGTAGAACCCTGAAACCACAAGTTGAATGGTATATATGCTAAATCCTAGTGGAATGACTAAAATAGGGATCGAGAAGTCTTCCTGGAGCAGGTGGTGCTTGAAGAGGGCTTGAATGGCGAGTGAGGACTTTAGTAGGTGAAGATGGCTGGGTGATGGAACACCATGACCCAGGCTGAAGGGCATGAGCGTGCCCAAGGAACGGTGGTTGGGAACAGACGCTGGAGGGAACCGACTGCTAGACTCTGGTGGGTAGACTTGATTTGGCAGGAGGGAAGTGACACACTCCAACCTGTGTTCTCCTGCCTGGATCCTGACCAGTGGGGGCCCCCGTGACTCCTGTTGAATCACTATTCACCCCCAGTTGAACCACTGGGTACCCTCATCACCCCAGTTGAACTAGTGGGTGCCCCCATGACTCCAGTTGAACTAGAGGGTAATGACGACCTGTATCCTGATTGCCTCCCTTCTTCTGGTCACCAAGCAAA